GACTGTTCATCGGTTCCTGTTTGCTGGTTTGGTGTCGCATCTCCAAAGAAAGAGGAATTGTGTGAGGAGGTGCGGACTATTATACTGGGACTTGGTATGGGAGTGGTCTATCACTATGGTTACCATTTTTTCTGTTTGTATTCCTTGCTGCTATTGGTGGCCGTAAAGGAAGAGTTAAGCAATACTCGCCTCCGTGTCTTAAAATCATGTAATTATCCACAGGCAAAAAAAAAACAAAAACATTTTCCACGAATTACAAAAAACATAACGTATCCCCATAAATATTACATCCCCTGATAGCCCTGATCTGAGTGAACAACATATCCAAAAATCACCCAGATCAGATCAGAGCAGGGGTTAAAAAATTCCTCGGAAGGCTCTTTTGACTGACGGAATGCATGATTTCATGCCCAAAACAATTCCAGATAATTAGGCTGTGCGGCCGGTCTATTTCTAATGATAAAAGTTTACTTCGAATAGTCTAACGGGACCGTTCGTGCACAAAGTCAGTGTTAAAGTGCCTTTCGAATTGTCGAACACTGTTTGACTCCCGAAGAGTTGAAGTCCCAGAGAAGGTAACTTTTCAGCGGTGTTCGTGCCGCCGTGTGTCCGATTTGAGTTCCATGAACTCAACGACATAACACCGCTGAACTCGTTTGACTAAATAAAATGGCCACCGCCACGTGTTTGAATGTTGCATGGCGGCCACTTCGACTAAGTAAATCTTCGAAAGTGGAAATCTGTTCCAATAGCAGTAATAGAGGCAGAAACAGTGCCTTAGAGCCAAATAAGTCACAGGGGCCATAATCTCACAGTAAAAGGCTGGCCATTACTCCTCTCCAAAAACCAGTGGCGAAGTTGCTTTCGTCACAGGATCTTTAAAGAACCCAGACTGATTGAGGACCTGTATGCTGAATGATTGTATTCAGCAAGTCTCTTTTCTTCTTCTTCAGAAAGGAAGACTATTACATCTGCTGACAGTGATCAGCTTAAAGAAACAAGGTTATGAATTTGCCTTTAGATTGGATCCATCGTTGGAAAGAAAGCACATGCGCGTAATAGCCTACCAATGTTTTTATAGGAGAAAGCATTGGAATGGCGGAGATCATCAGTTCTGATCATCTCAGCCAAAGAAGCAGATAGGACATGGGGACATCGCCAGTGTACACACGTGGTGCCTGATTAAAGGGGAGTTTTCTACTTAATTAAAGCGGGGTATTTAAACATTATAGGATCAGGAATACGTTTGTATCTCTGACCCTATAGTGTTCTTTTACATTTGTCAGCCTCCTGAATCAGCTTGTAGGCACCAAAACAACTACAATTAGCTGTAGAGGCTTTGGTGTTTACAGTGTCTCTTTAAAGCAGCGGTAACCAAACTGGGGTACTCAAACACACTTAATGGCAGAACTACTGCCGGTGCAGCTGCACCAGGTCCCCAGGCGGAGGGGAGCCGATGTGTCATCGGGGTTTTGGTCATGCACTGAGACGTTTCAATAGCACGATCGGACCCCTTCAATATTGCAGAGCTCAAAGGAAGTGAGAGAGACTTAATTCCTCCCAGATAACAGATTTTGGCTAGACTGTGCTGGAGGGAGAGGAGGCAAGTAGAAGGTGGGACAGAGCAGGAGATCATCTTGTGTGTGGGGCAGAGGAGAAACAGGGAGAGCATGTGGCAAGGAAGAAAAGAGAGCCAGAGGAAAACAGTTTGAAATAACAGCAATTATATTAATTCCAAACATTTTGCTAATGTGATTGATATAATTTATGGAAATGGGCCGACAAGAGGTACACAAGTGAAAAAAAAAAAAAAAGATTGAACCACTGCTTTAGATGATCAAAGGTTTACAATGGATGTATCAAAGACAACTCAGACTACATATTTATTGTTCTGCTCAGAGGTCCAGGTGCTGTGCTCCTTATTTCAGGTTACGTTTCTGTTAGGGATCAACCATTATTGATTTTTTTTAGAGCAGATACCGATAATCTGTGAACTTTCTGGCCGATAACTTACCGATATTCTGTACATTTACCATTTTGAAAAAATAAATTTCTACACAAATCTGTTTTTTTTTATATTAAGGTAAATGCACAAAATATAAACACGAGTCAGAATTGTTTGTTTTCAAGAATATATATGTGTGTAGTGGATGCAGTGTGTTTGTGTAGTGCGTGTATAGTGAGTAGTGTGTGCAGTGAGTGTTCGTGTAGGTATGTAATGTGTGCAAAATGGAGGGGGGGGGGATGCATTTTTTTAATTTAGTTTTAGTCCCCCCTCTTACCTGGCCAGGGAGGGGTGATATGGCATTCCCTGGGGGGGCCCAGCACACACTTACCTTCCCAGCAGCTCCCCTGTCTAACTCTCGTGGCCTATGGGCCACGTGGAGCGTTGCCATGGTAACCTGAGATTTAGACAGGGAAGCTAAAGGGAAGGCAAGTAAGAGTTTGCTGGGCCACTCAGGACCGCCGCGGTCCACCCAGGACCGTGATGGCGGCCCTGGTCTGCATTATCGGTATCTTTATTGGCCAATATCGATATTGCTGAAAATACAGAATATCGGCCAGACAGATAATCAGTTGATCCCTAGTTTGTCATATAACTTTGCATAGGAGTAATTTTAAAATGGCAGTTCTGACAAATTCCAAGTTTGTGAAGATTTTGAAGTACACTGTTTATGGAGACTGTCAGAGGTGGTTTGTGCAAATGTTTGATGTATTATAACCATTTTTAGGAAACAATCTCTAGTGTCCTAACCAGACATGCACACTAAAATGCAATTTAGACATGTAGGAAATGCACTTAAATGACACAAACACTATACATATTTATCATTGAATTGAGTATTGTATCTGAAGTCTCCTGTGCTGTCCCTCTATTCTCAAACAGTTAAACAATGAATGAGGGTCCCTAACCAACCACAGACTGGCCTCTACTGTAGGTATAGCTAAGGTAGAGAGGAAGCCGTTACAATGTATACAGTGTCCCTTAAACAGAAATACGCATCTTACACCAAAGTAGCCAGGCTGGAATACTATAGGCCTTGACAAATTCTATTTTGTCCATGATTTAGTAGAAGAACCACGTTCAAAATCTAATTTGACAATATTCCTCTTGAACTGGTTAGCATTCACACTTGTCTATAATCGTATTGCACTATTTTAGCGAATGCAAAGAAAAAGCAGTTTGCAAAAAAAATACACACTTTAACTACAATTTCTAAAAATATAAAACCTATAATTACAGTAAAATTGTGCCCTCTCTCTAAAAATTACTTACTCTGGAATTCTAGAATTAACATTCAGAAACAATACCTAAGTGAAAGTAAACACACAAAATCAAGGAAATGAAAATGTACTAAAATTTAATCATTCATAAAAGCTGTAATTTAATTTGTGACAGTAAAACACAAGAAGCAATATTAGAGTTGTTTTAGTATATTATATATTTCAGCTTTGAAATCCATAGAAATCAGTTATCTTGGTTTTCCTATAAAAGACCCTACCTTTCCCTTCCCGCCCCAAAAAGCATTATGCACAAAAAATGTTTTAATTAGAATATAATGACAAGATGAAGTAATGATAAATCCATAAGTTTTAAATATAAAATGAAGTCACTGTGACTCAAAAAGGTATTAGCCCCATTGAGTTCATTAAGGGGAATATATATATAACTCTATATATTTATAAAGTAAAACTATAAATGGCTGGATTTGTATTATTTTTAGTGCTTGACACAGGCATGACTAGGAAAAAGGATCTGGAAGAAAGTCAATATGAAAATAATTAAAGGTAATTAGACTAGCAATATCTAACATTTGAAATGCATTCATGCTCTTTTGTATAATCATTCAGAATTGAGTCAAGTATATCTGTTTATTTTCACATCTGTGATAACCACTATTGCAATAGAAGACACAATTGTGTCTTGGTTTCGGAGAAAAAAACAGCTAATTCATTTGCAGGGAATCTTGTGCAAACAGTATTGTAGATCTAAGTTCTTCACATAATATATAAAACAGAAGGAGCCTCTTAAGATATGTTAATTTATGGTGGGGTCTCTTTTTTAATTTTTCTTCTTTTTTACAGTTTGGAATGCTGGCACTTCCAACTAGGCAACAGTTCTTCATTCCTGAACTCTGCAATGAAACAAAAGTTAAAAATAGGTGTTACAGCTTCAATAGCATATTAAACACATGTTAATTGTGACACATACTGCCCTGTTTGGTATTTGCAAATTTTATTTTTAAATTATATATTCTAAATTAAACACATTGCAATAAGGGAAGCTAAAAAAACATGCACACTCTTTTCCAGGAAGGCTGCAGGAATGCTGATGAGTTTGAGTTAGGTATGGTGTGCATAAAAAAAGTATTTTAACTCCTAAATGGTAGAGAATTGAGCAATGTGACAGCAGGGACATAATCTTTAAAAACAAAACAGTTTAATTAAGCTAAAGTTGTTTTGGTACTTAGAGTGTGGCTTTAAGATAACAATGCCATTTAATTACATCAGGGTTAACCGAGGTAACCAAGCCATGTAACATCAAAAGCGAATAAGGGAATGTACATAGAAAGAAATTATATAGCCATGGAAGTGGTGAGTACAAACCAGGTGTATAAAATAATCTAAAACATACTTCTGCAAACCATTGTCTAAAACAATGGACAATAAATTGGTAAAGTTGTGCCAATCAATCCTCATAACAGGTGTTAAAAAAAAAAAATCTTCTAAATTCCTTTTCCCCATTGACTTGAGTGGATTAATTTTAAGGTTTATTGGTAGTCGTTTCTCACATAAAGTACCACTGTATTGTACCACTCAGGTCTACTACTGTAGGTAGCGTCCATCTATATTGTGTGTATTTTTGTATGTGTTTCAGGCCACTTTTATGTGACTAGCTTGAAACATTCGTTTAATATGTATTCAAATTAGATTTATTTAAATTAACTGGTATAAGAAAAAATATGTTACCTGGCTCAGAGCTGCTGCTTAAAGATGGTCTAAAGCAGCAGACATGGTGATTTCTTTTTAGATTTCTTCTTTTCCTCTGGTGTTTTCCTATTTATCTGTCTGACCAAGTCATAAAAGATCTAAAATGCAAATCAGAATGTACATCAGGGACTTGAAATTAGACTAAATGCCAAATGAAATATTACTTTTTGCAACATCTGAATAAAAGAACATTTCCCAAACTATGATGGTACAATCTTAAAACTGCTTTCTGATCTGATAAATCACAAAAACACTAATGGAGATCATGAGTTTGAGGATATATTTCAGCCATTCCTGGTTTTACATGAACTGCAGAGGAAATGGATCAAAATCCCTGAGAATGAGTCATGGTTTTTCATCAATCAAGAAACATTTCACGATTTATCTATATGTTACAAATGGGCGGTAAACTGACTATGGAAGATAGGCATTACTTTTGTTCAGTAAACGCAGATGTATTTTTTTCAGGTGTGCACTCTTCTTAAACTTTTTATGGAACTCTAAGTACAATATAATGTACTTAGAAACTAGTCAAACAATGAATATATTATATAGTATACAATTTGAACAACTCTAGACAGTTATTTTTAAAATATATCTTTTCCCCAAGTGCTGCATGCGCATTAGAAACTGAATCAATGCTTTCCTAAGAGGGAAAAATCTGACTCTGGATGTCCTCGCAGAAAGCGCACCCATCGCCTGTTTGGGTGCTGCAAAGTAAACACTGCAGTTTTTCTGGAATTGCTATGTTTTACAATGCAGCACTAAGTGCAATTAGGACAGTGCACCCAGACCACTTCAATGAGCTGAAGTGGTCTGGGTTCTTATAGTGCCCCTTTAAAGCTAAAATATTTCTGACAAAACAAGCCTGCTAGAATGTGTTATTTTATTCCACACTTAAGTTGTGCAAACAAACATTTTCCCTTCAATAGATGACTCCAATTACTGTGAACTTCTACATATCTCTTATTCCACAAAAATAAAAAATAAATACATACACCCATAATGGACTTTGAAAATGTTGCTTGAACGTAAGATAAAGGATCTGAAAACATTTATTAGATAGAAATCTTTAGTAGCCCATTAAATGGTACTTTTAAGCTAGGTTGATTATTTTTAACGTGAACCTATTACAGGTTCCCTTTATGCGATAACCTCTCCATGCCTAATCATAGTGATAAATTATATGGATATATTGAATTGCTTTCGGAGACGCTAAGGAGAACATATCATTACAGTAATGTGTTTGTAGTTATTTCACCATCTACCTTAGCCCTCCCTATACAATACTAAGGTTTTTCACTTTTGTATTGAAAAAAAAAGATATTAGTTTAATTTTCTTCCTTAACCCCTGTACTCTGTGGAGAATGTCCATCTTTTCAGTGAGTATTACACTTGCTGTAAAACCTTCTTCTTCTACACACCCTTGATTGGGAAGCAAAGATTTTCAGAAAACAGAAAAGCTTTTCATGTCATACACAACAAAATGTTACAATTCTACTGAAAAAGTCATTTTTATTGAAAAATGTTAGAAATCACAAACATATCCAACAATGATAAACAAAAACACTTATATTACACAGGGAGGACACACCAAATAAACAAAACACTAGACATCATTTACTCAGAATACACTTTTGTCAGCAGCTACCCTGCCTGCTGCGATTGAGACAGTTTCTGGGATAAACCTTTCTCTCTTGGGTGACATCCAATCTCTGAGCACAGGAAAAATGTGGAACTGTCACTTGCATTATAGCGACTGACCAACGAGGCAGGAGAGCAAAGGGGCCCACAAGCTGTGTCTGCTATCCAAAACACAACAGGAACAGTATTGTTCAAATTTAACATCTACTACCCCTTCTCACTGTTTACAGTGATTAACAGCAAAGGCAGAATAGAATCAAGTTCAAGTATGTGTTGACATGTGAGAGTGCAATCAATTAATTCATTATGCGCATGGGTGGTAATTGTGTTTTGTGGGCAATTTAATCATATGTACATGCTACATTAACAATGTGAGTGAAATATTTCTTAAACTTTGTTTTAAGACATCAAACAAGTTTATTCTGAAGTTTACATTAGGCAACTGAAGACAATTATAGAATGTACAAAATCAGCTTCATACGAATTACCGGGTGTATTTATGCAGACTAACTATATGTATGTAGTTTACAACCCCCTGCCACCCCCAAAAAGAACCAGAATTTATTTTATTAACACCTCTTCCCCAGAGGGATACTAATCTATATCAATAGAACAGCCACAAATGCTCACCTCATTTACATTGATCTTCGACTTTGCAGAAGATTCTAAAAAGGCACAGTTATTCCACTGTCTGGCTAAATTTTGTCCCTGCTCCTTGCCAACTACCCGCTCATCCTCCAAATCACATTTATTGCCCACCAGAATCATGGGAACCTGCAAGGTAAAGAAGAATGCAAACCAAAAACTTTAATATGAACATTACATTGCTAAATGTACAATTTGGCATGTAAATTAAAAGTTACAACTCATGAAGCTAACCCTTTGTCAACAAAGCATATAATTTGACAAAATGTATGAAGGTATTTAAAATAATTTCACTTCCAAAGCCAAAAATAAGATCTTAATTAAGGTTAAGCTACAATTTTCAAAAGAAAAGATAAAGACTTTAAAACAAAATAGCACACAACTATTAACGTAAATCTAATCTCAAGCCATAGAAAAAGCAAACAAAACTTAATACAAATATGAAAAGTAGCTTGAAGGACAATATAAGAATGCATTTTATACACACTGTTTTGAGCAATTATTTTCACATAACAAAAACAAACAATGTAGTTAGTATAGTTCAGTGTTTCCCAATTGGTGTTCTGCAAAAACAAAACCGGGGTTCTGTTGCAATTTTCCACCTGATTGGCATTGCTGAACAAGGTCACAGTCTGGCGCCACCACGGTTTAAGAGTGTGACCAGGCCCCTGCAATAAATATTGGATTCTGGGGGGGAAGTGATCTACTGTTAGTTACTCTCAGACAGAGAGTGCCGCGCTGAAGGAAAAGCAGGGAGTTGCTGCAAACAGAACCAGAGCCTCACCTCTTCCTGCTCACTGTGCTGACCAGGAGTGAGTGAGAGAGGCTGGTGTGTAAACCTCCCGCAATACAGATTATAAAAAAGGAAGGCGCTGAGTGATAGCCGATCCCCCTACATCTCAAGCTGCCTGAGGAGCATAGGCTGGGGAGTTCAGAAATACTGTTCCCAGATAAAAGTCATATAATCTATGTAACAACGGTAAGCAAGTACCTGTGCACTCCAGTTATGTTGCCCATAGATTAATGTATTTTCCCAATGGGTCAAAGAGATTTGCATAACTGGGTGCATAAGTACTGCCAATCGCCGTTCCTCTTTTCTGAGGGAAAAAGGAAGAGTGAAGAGTCAAACAAAAAATAATTACCGTGCACAGAGAGGCACCATCCTTTAAAAAAAAAAAAAAAAAAAAAAGCTAAAGACCCACCTCTTCCATCAGGCATTCAGTCCGCTCATCTGACCTTCAGAAACTCCTAACTTTTATGTCTTTATGTTTGCATATTTGTAAAGTGCTGAGTCTCACAGGGAGAAAAGCGCTATAAATATCGCAAATTATTATATTAAGGGTTCATATAATGCATTCTATTAAAAAATCAATTTGTGTAGATGGTAATGTTTAATCTTGCTCTAAAAAGTATCTGACTGCTGCACATCCTTTGTCATGTGGTATACAAGTATATAAGGAGGTAAAATCACAGTTAACAAAATAATACCCATCTTTCCATACAAAATCCTTTAACATTCTCAGAACATCTGTTGTGTCTTTCAGAACGGATTTTGTCTTAACCCCTTAAGGACCAAACTTCTGGAATAAAAGGGAATCATGACATGTCACATGTCATGTGTCCTTAAGGGGTTAAAGACCACTGGTTGAAGGAAAAATGTATTTTCTACAGATTATTAGATATAGATCAATTCCCGGGTGGGTTATCTAGCTCCATATGGACTTTTGGAAGGAAATAAAAAAAAAAACTGGGGTCCTAGGAGATTTTATGTTTAAAAACTCATTCTTTCAGTTTTAACCCTTATTGTTTCTACCAATCTTCTTAAAATCATTAAAAACTACCTTTTCAAATGCCTCTATACTATCATGTTTAAGATAACTTGGGTAAAAATTGGATCTATTCTGAAAAGATGGATGTTTAAAATCATTATTATCCTCTACTTTCTGTGTCACGTTGTTATTCGCATTTTAAAAAAACAAAAAAACTTTTTAATGGACAATCTCCTCCCATCTTTCATCAAATCAATATATGCCAAGAAAGTATTAAAGTGCCTCATTGTTGCAAATCTTAAGCCCTTGTTTAGAACTTTAATTTCACTCTCTGTGAGGGAGTGTGAGGAGATATTGTTGATACCAATGGGAATCACCAATTGTGCCTTTTTTCTTTTCTTTTGCTTTCCTCCTCTACATCCCCAAAACTTATTCTCCTTGTTCTTTTTAGTGGAAAATCGTTCCTTCTCAGTTCCATGTCTAAAAAAAAAAAAAAAAGCATGTTCTATATTCTCATTCCTTAAGATTTCAAACCAGTTATTGGATGTATTTCTGTAGAGGCTTTCGTTTCTCCTTTTGTTTCTGGGGAGATCTCATCCCTAGATTTTATCTGTACCAACTCTTCTTTTATTTGTTGTTCCACTTAACTTATTTTCCTTTTTAGGTTGGGTCTCAGGTCTTCGCTGGGGCAGTCTATTACGGAATTTATTAGTTTCAAAATTCCTATTTGTCTCTTACTTTGAACCCTCCCCTTCTAGTTGGCTGTTCTCTCCTGTACCTCCTCACTCTCCCTCCTTCATAATCTTTCTCCCTCTTAAATTTATGCATTTTTGTTTCCCTAATCTCTAAGTTTATTATAAGATATATCCACAGAAGGTGGTTTTTAATATTGCGCACCATTACTTTTATGGGTTATACAAGTTTTTCAGCTAAACTGGAATTAGACTGGAGACATAGAATCAAATTTAATGAAAATTTAAAGGGGCACTATAGGGTCAGGAACACAAACATGTATTCCTGACCATATAGGGTTAAAACCACCATCTAGCCACCCTGAGTCCCTCATGCCCCCCTAAATATAGAAATCTTACTTGTATTTAAGTCTGGAGCTGCTTAGTTTGTCACTGTTTCCTTTAGACCTGCCCACTGCCTGCTGACATCAGCAGAAGTGGTAGCCTGATCCAATCACAATGCTTCCCCATAGGATTGACTGACAAAGAGGCAGATCAGGGGCAGAGTCAGCATGATTCAAACACAGCCCTGGCCAATTAGCATCTCCTCATAGAGATGAATTGAATCAATGAATCTCTATGAGGAAAGTTCAGTGTCTGCATGCAGAGGGAGGAGATACTGAATGTTTGGATGCATTGTAGGCAGCCATGACCCAGGAAGGATCTCTAATAGCTATCTGAGGAGTGGCCAGTGAAGTTATCACAAGGGTGTAATGTAAACACTGCATTTTCTCTGAAAAGACCGTGTTTACAGCAAAAAACCTGAAGGTAATGATTCTACTCACCAGAACAAATTCAATAAGCTGTAGTTTTTCTGGTGACTTATAGTGTCCCTTTAATATACAGTGTTCATAAATTTCACAAATGAAAACGTGTACATTATCACCATTTTATACTTAAGAAGACCGCTACCACCACTAGATGGAGATATTCCACAAATTTAGAGGTGAAGCATAAAAATAAAATGTCAAAAGTAGCGTGAGCCTTGGATTCAGATTGCAAGCAGCCCTTTTACCATATTATCACAATTTTATACTTAAGAAGACAGCTACCACCACTAGATGGAGATATTCCACAAATGTAGAGGTGAAGCATTAAAATAAAACGTCAAAAGTAGCGTGAGCCTTGGATTTAGATTGCAAGCAGCCTTTTTACCATATTAAATCCTTAAAAGAGACATTGCAAACATTTGTTTTTCACAAGCATTTAAACTAAAATGTCATACAGTCCTGACAAACCATTCAATTATTTAAATTTGCTACCTCTACCCTTCCCATAGCTCTCTCACATTTAGTTTCAAACAACCTTTTGCTGGCATTAAGCTGCATATTGACCCTACACTGGGGCATCCGGTTTGGAAAAAAAGTGTCAGTTTTTGTTCAAGCTACATTACAATATGAGTAGGATCCTTCTTAACTATAATGATCAAGTATTACAAATATGAATAGATATCTACAAAGTTCTTTTTAATTAAGACATGAATAGATGTTATAAATGTGTGGTCAAATCCACCCTAGGATGTGTCCCAAAGACAAAATATTATGTCAAATAAAACTAGGTCACTGAATTAAACTCAAGTGTAACTGTTGAAAGAGGCATCTACTCGTAACAACCAGGAATAACAAAAACAAACAAGCGAGGAATTATAAGAGACAATTTTACACACACCACCTACACACTTTATCTGTAAGATAAAATTTTCCACTGCTGTCATGCAAACCTTGCAATACAAATTAATTTTATTTTTTTGCAGCTACAAGCAAGGAGTCTACTTACATCTTCGGTGTCCTTGACTCGTAAAATCTGTTCCCTCAAGTCCTGTAAGTCATTAAACGTGGACTGTGCAGTTATAGAATATACGAGTGCAAATCCCTGACCATTCTTCATGTATAAATCTCTCATCGCCGTGAACTGTTCCTATAGAAAGGAGAAGCACAACAGATCTTGGTTTCACAAAAGTATTTTAGAGCAGCAGAAGATTCCTGTTAAGAATGCAGCTCATTATCTAATCACAGAGCAGCAGGAGATGTAGCATTAGCTGTACTAAGAGATGGCCAAAGATAGAGCACAGTTCAATGATAGATCCCTTTCTTCAACCAAGAATAGTACAGAGCGACACTAAAGCGTTAGAGAACCAGTTGAAAAAAGATGGAAGACTTAGAGAACAAATTTTCGCTTTGCTTAAATTCCCTGATATATATATATATATATAAAAGTAACAAATAAGAAAGGCTGCGCCACATAAAATATTAAAAGAAGACAAAGTCCAAGTAGTAAAAAGTCCAATATCCTTACGAATAGTCTTTTTAGGAGGATGGTACTGTGGTAGGGTCTTCAGATATAGTGGTTCCACTTATATAGAAGATAAAAGAGAGGGACAACCAATAGTGCAATATGTATCGCTCAAATATGGACGTAATAAAAAAAAAAAAAAAAACAATGGTAGAGGAATCACATTTACAAGAGCTTATATCCAGCTCTAGGGTAAAGCGCGTACAGCGGTATAATCCCCGCTTATAGGATATATGGTGGGTACCTCTCCGTCAGTGGTGTCCGGTTCTCAGGAAAGAAGAAACAGCCAATAGTGCTCACTGTATAGTAATGTTGGTATAAATTAAATAAAAACGTACTTACAAGTAAAGAGCAGGCGGACTTGCTCTGTGGTATCAGCATAAGTGGATTAATCCCCACCTAGGATTTCTTGGGATGCAGGAAGCTTCCAAATATTTTAAAACCAGAATGGATAAAAAATAAGATAATAAAAAGCCAGGGTAAAAATAAATAAAAAAAGGTATGTGTAAAAAAGATAATTGGCACAGCCAGATGACCAAATATACTTTTAATACAAAAATACACAATATAAAATTTCCATAACGCGTTTTCGTTATCTTATTTTTTTATCCATTCTGGTTTTAAAATATTTGGAAGCTTCCTGCATCCCAAGAAATCCTAGGTGGGGATTAATCCACTTATGCTGATACCACAGAGCAGCCCGCCTGCTCTTTACTTGTAAGTATGTTTTTATTTAATTTATACCAACATTACTATACAGTGAGCACTGTTGGCTGTTTCTTCTTTCCTGAGAACCGGACACCACTGACAGAGAGGTACCCATCATATATCCTATCAGCGGGGATCACACTGCTGTACGCGCTTTACCCTAGAGCTGGATATAAGCTCTTGTAAATGTGAGTCCTCTACCATTGTTTTTTTATTACGTCCATATTTGAGCTATACATATTGCACTATTGTGTGTCCCCCTCTTTTATCTTCTATATAAAGTGGAACCACTATATCTGAAGACCCTACCACAGTACCAGCCTCCTAAAAAGACTATTCATAAGGATATACAAATTGGACTTTTTACTACTTGGACTTTGTCTTCTTTTAATATTTTATGTGGCGCAGCCTTTCTTGTTACTTTTATCTTGTTTTAAAGGGTTTTTGAGGGATTCCCCTTTAAAGGTTGCTGCCTATAAGTTGACCAGCGCCGTCTCATCCATTTACCATTACTATAGATATATATATTTTTACACAAGTTAATCAGAGAACAAGCAGAATAAGCAATTCTGTGGCAAGATGCTCACTGATATCTAAGTTTACAACTAGCTGCACAGAAAATGACTTGTCTCCATGGATTGTTTAAAGGATCACTATAGTGCCAGGAAAACACTTGTTTTCCTGGCACTATAGTGCCCTGAGGGTGCCCCCACCCTCAGGGTCCCCCTCCCGCCCGGCTCTGGAAGGGGGAAAGGGGTTAAAACTTACCTTTTTCCAGCGCTGGGCGGGGAGCTCTCCTCCTCCGATCCTCCTCTTCTCCTCCCATGCGGCTGAATGCGCATGCGCGGCAAGAGCTGCGCGCGCATTCAGCCGGTCACATAGGAAAGCATTCATAATGCTTTCCTATGGACGCTGGCGTGCTCTCACTGTGAAAATCACATTGAGAAGCACGCAAGCGCCTCTAGTGGCTGTCAATGAGACAGCCACTAGAGGAAATAGGGGAAGGCTTAACCCATTCATAAACATAGCAGTTTCTCTGAAACTGCTATGTTTATGAAAAAATGGGTTAACCCTAGCTGGACCTGGCACCCAGACCACTTCATTAAGCTGAAGTGGTCTGGGTGCCTAGAGTGGTCCTTTAACAGATTATTACCTGTGAAGTCATGCCAACAATAAAACGGTTTTCTTCATATAACAATTATTAATGACTGAGAAATCGTTATTTGACTTACTGTTCCGGCTGTGTCGAGAATTTCAAGCATACATTGCTGCCCTTCTACTTCCACTTGCTGTAATGAAAAGGAATGGTCATTTTATGGGAATTAAGTACATGTCATTAATACTGTTCTCTGAAGCTCTAAATTAGATTTTGACAAAGCATCTGTAACAAAGTTGCCTTGATGAATGCATTAATACATTTCAAATGAAACACAAGACATCCAATGATCTAGTAAAACTCAAACTGAAACGCATGTAGGTGTCAGTCCAGACTTACCTTTCTGTAAGAGTCTTCTATTGTAGGATCATATTTTTCCACAAATATTCCCTGCACAAACTGTACTGTCTGGAGGGGAAAGGAAAACAATACTTAAGAAACCGCTATATTTACTGTAGAACAGAGTCTAGATTTACTAAATAGTGCAGTGTGAAAGGTGATCACATATACATGAACAAGTCTTACAAAAATAAAAGTTTTAACTGTATCTGCTGCAAATTCTATCCACATTACTATTTATTTATTTTTTTTAAAGTCTTAAACCAGGTGAAAAAAAAAAGGATAGCTGTAATCTGTTAAAATGGAATGTACTATTGGTGTATGGCAAATAAAGGGTTACCCTATTTCTTTGCCATACCTCTGTCAAAGAGGGCACAGCCACAAATACACACAGTCCCTCATTTAGAGTCAAACCAATCAAAAATCAATTCATCAAAACTGTGGGACAATGTCAAGTGACACCAAGCACCGCTAATTTAATTAGATGAAGCTGTTATGGTACCTAAAGTGTCATTTGAAGCACTGTACCAGCGGCTCTTGCATGCAGAAAGAACGTAATCAAAGTATCAATTCACTTAAATTATGTATGATTCAATAACAATGATGTGCAGCAAGATCTATTTTAATTACATAAAGGACCAATAAAGTAGGGATTGACCGATATAGATTTTTTGAGAGCAGATACCGATACTCTTAACTTTCTGGCCAATAACTTACTGATATTCTGTACATTTACCATTTTTTTTTTTTAAAATAAACTATTTCTAAAGGCAAATGCACAAAATATACATGCCACATTTAGTGAATGCAGTGTTTTTAGACAGGGGAGCTGTGTGTGTGTATATATAATATATAATATGTATATAATGAATGCAGAGTGCGTGTTTGTGTAGTGTGTGCGTATCTATAATGAATGCAGTGTGTGTGTATATAATGAATGCAGTGTGTGTTCTGTAGGTAATTTGTGTAAAATGGGGGAGAGAACGCCTTTTTGATTAAAATTTTTTTTTCTTTTTAATATTAATTTTTTTTTTCCATCCCCTCTCCCTGCTTGTTACCTGGCCAGGGAGGGGGGATATAGCGTTCCCTGGTGGTCCGGTGGGGGCCCACAGCAAGCGCTTACTTAACTTCCCAGCAGCTCCCCTGTGTACATATTGCGTCCTGTGTGCCGCGCAGTACTTTGCCATGGTAACTCGTGGCAACGCTCTGACAGCCGCGGGACTCGCAAGATTTACACTGGGGAGCTGCTGGGAAAGTAAACAAGCGCTTGCTGGGCCCCCCAGGACCGCAGGGCTTGTCATGGGCCCAACGGTCCTAATATGTATTATTGGCAATATCGGTATCGGCCTATAGAGATACCGATATTGCCGATAATACATACCAGGACCGCCGGGCTTGTCATGGAGGGCTTGCAGCAGCTCCCTTCAGCTCCCCTGTCTAAATCTCGAGAGTCACATGGCAACGCTCTGCACAGCATGCAGGCTCCCTTTTCTTTATAGCATAAGTAACTGGGTAGCAACAGCTGCCTAGATGCTAGTCTAATGACCAGGAACAGCCGCTGTCTACTCAACGTTTAGAAGATATACGCCATACCCGCATCATGGCTTAACTCTCCTTTATAAATTATATGCCATGTTTAGTTCAGGAGATAATAGGAAAAACTATTCCTTGATTGGTTTGAGAGAGAGAGTTGGAGAGCACACACAAAACCAAAACCAGTCTTATTTTGTAAACACCTGACTGCTACTCAGACAGTTACTCCATCAGTATATACTGCACAATGACTCGAGAGTTCAGAGGTCATTTGCATGCTGCTGGCAAACATTTGGTGTGCTTCACTTTGCAAAATGTTTGTCCAAACAAAAGCTAGGTGATAAGGCGCGGCAATGAGCTCATTTGTTGACCCTTCTCCATAGCAAAGGGAAAATTTTTTTCCTAAGTGACTCCTGCTGACAAGGTCAATATTGTGTGCTGCTGTTGCAGCAGCAGCTTATCACCAGGCTACCTAATTTGTTGTGAAGTAAAAAAGGTGGGGGTGGAGAGGGTCGATAAGAAGATTTTCACACCTGTTGAATGCTAATGTCACTATGCAAAAGGTGAGCTGTTTTATTTGCTATAAACATGTCTTTGCTCTGTAGCGCAATATCATTATTCAGAAAAGTTTGGAACCCCTTAAAGCCTTTCTTGCTCAGAATCACTGAGTCAGCCTTGGATGGCAGATATGGCAAGTATAGCGTGTTACACAACCACAAAAATGGATTTTGAATTACACAAACTGGGTTTATTCATTGAATTCTGAAATGTACTGAACTGAAAACCTGAACAGCAACATTTAGGCCAAACACTGTTCGGCTAGTAAGGTATGCATGCGTTTGTGGCTGTGAGTGGTGATTAGCTGTGCCTCTGTTTTGGAACTATAACTAAAGGAAATAGAAAAGCATTTTGTGACAGTAGATTGGCTGTTTTTTTGTTTTTGTTTTTTAATTTACCAAGGCAGATTTTCCAACACCTCCTGAACCAAGGACCACGAGCTTGTACTCGCGCATGATGGGTCTTTGATTGTTAAATACTTAACCAATCTGCAAAAGAAAAAAAAGCATGTGTTAAATAAAAATGCATTGCCCAACCTATTGATGCAATCAGCAGCTCTTTGGATGAGACCATTTCCAAGCAACCGCTTCAAATAGATTGTATACATGTTCCGCAGAACAACAGAGGGTACAATTAGGTTGTTGAGCACCAACTACAGTGTTTATGGAGCATGGAGTGTTCATCTATACAATTGCACAGTATATAGCCGAAATGTTATACTCTTTAAAGAGACATTAAATCAAGTTAGGCATAACAGGTGAACTTTAAAATGAAATCCTGGGGTGCGGCCTGAGTGGCATGGGGGCTGGACATGTCTCCCTTGAGCTCCAAGATTATATTCGATAATATCCTGATTAACAGACTGCCAGCACGCTCAAATTCTGAGACTTGCCTCATCTGGAAACCAACCAGAGCACCTTGTAGCAGTGCCAATGGTTGATTACTCAGCAACTGAGATCTGTGCGAGCCTAGCGTGAACATTAGTCGGGTTGAAGTGGCCGATTGCCTGTACCACGTGACGTTTTACCCTCCCAGAATACTGTGCAGCTCTTTTCCCTCCCCGCCTATCTTGACCAGTGGGGGTTATCCCGGTCCCCACTGGCATAATCTGTACCCTAACGGAAGTCTTTACTGCCTCTGATAAGCAAGTCTGGACCACAACTTACCTACTCCTGATCCAGAACGAAGCCCCTTTAGACAAGATGCCGCTTATAATCCTTGGTGCGTAGTCTCTTCAGTCAGAGGGAGCAACACCTGACTTAGTTCAGCAATGTTCTGCAGCAGCTGGAAGCCTTATTCAACAGATTCTGGGCCTCCATGGAAGCCCACAGTGTAGCTGCATCCTCTCAGCATAGAGAGGAGGTTCGGTTGAACAAGAGCGCTGGGGTGAGTGGGCATACCTCAGGTCTTCCCTACCTTCCAACAGTCTCCTTTACCATAAGCCCACCCAGACCGAGGGCCAACAGGGGCAAGTACCCAACTCATCACCTACATAGACGGGAGTCCGACCGCCATCAGCGGAGAAATACCATCAGGGCGTCCTGTCTCTCCCTCACTGGGAAGGACTTGGACTTTGCAAGTCACAAGGTCTGTGGCACTGAGATGCTGGTCTACACTTCGGCCTGGGGCTGGCGGGTTGCCTTGCACCGTACCTGTTTTACCGCAGCCTCGCACAACCTTGGTGCTCCCACCAGGGACATTCCAGAATTGGGCATTGGCTAGACTCACCGAACCGCCTAAGCAAGCCACTATCTGGGACTCTTCTGTCATTTGCTAAAGCCAGATTTGCCTTCATTAACAAGTTTGCTCAGTTGTTAACAAATTAGCTTAGTTTCGGATATGCCTATACCTCTGCATTGCTTTGAACTATCTTTGTCACTGGGTAATGCCTAGTACGTCAATCATTAACCAGTGGTATCTTATGTCTAGCATGTTACATTATCGTTTGGTTTTCATTTTTCTAATGTAGCGTTTTGCTCACCACTGACTATTTTCTTCTATAAATACATAACAATGTGCAGATTTCCTGAATGCAGAGTCAATGATTTAACTGTCTTCAATATGCTTGTGATCGCTGTTGTGACTTTTCAAGCTTTTTGTTATCCCATGCACAACATAAATAAAGAGTGACAAAATTTTTTAAATGGAATCTTGTCATCTAATCAGCTTGACGTGAAAATTATGCCTGCTCAAAGTGTGGTAAACAAGGGGATTACAAACTAAATGGACCTTAAAGGAACACTATAGTGTTTGGAATACAAACATGTATTCCTGGCTCTATAGTTGTAAAACCACTGTTTATGAGTCTGGCTCTCCTTGCCTGCACTTAAAAAGGTCATTTATGCATCGCTCTTCCTTTGCGATGATCAAAAATGGCGATCTCAGCCAATCCAATGCTTTCCCATAGTAAAGCATAGAAGGTGCTATTGAGCGGTAAAACACTGTACTGCTCCAATCAACATCTAATAGAGATGCATTGAATAATTGTTCATGGAGGCACTGTGCAGCACTGACTCAGGAAGCACCTCTAGTGGCTGTGGGAGTGACGGCCACTAGAAGTGTTCCTAGGCAGTAAAAACTGCCCTTTAAAATAAAAAATATAAAAAAGCCTACAGGGACAGGCTGTAGACACCAGAACATCTACATTAAGCTGTAGTTGTTCTGGTAACTGTAGTGTCCCTTTAAGAAATGTCGACTAAGTTGATGGAGCAAAACTTTGCAGAAAAATAAAATAAAATTCAGTTCTACACAATTCAAAGTTTCAGTGTGTGTATGTGGGTGGGAATCGTGGCTTTAAATATAGATATTCACACATGCACGTTAGCTGCAGCTAAATTCATCTTCATGAATATCTACAAGGTCACAAAGGACAGATGTGATAGAAAATATTTCAGCAGCTAAATTAAAACAGAGCAGTGTGCACTTTACTAGAAAACATTGAAAAACAAAATAGTACAAAATAGTAAATACATAAAGTGCAATTCTGGCGCAAAGTTCTAAAAGTGGACAAAATCAGCAAAGAAGTTCCATTGGATTCCATGGTTATTACTATTTTAGAACTCTGGTGATGCAATGTGTGAGAGCAGAGAAGAATTTGGACGTCACTGCTTAGAGCACACTCAATGTGTGTGGTCTTGCATTTCCTTAGCAATTAGGCTACTCCTGCTTGAGCAGACCACATGCAACGTTAGCGCCCAGTGCAAACAAAGTTGTCAAACTGTACTAAAACACTGTAGTAGTACTAAGAAGGCTGGCTCATACACAAAAGTATAATCAATGGTTAAAATCCCATGCTACTAGTCAGGCCTTAAAAGTTACTCTCCACTGTAAGCAAGAGCATATCCACAAGAGGGTGAATTACAACTCACCATGGCTTAATTTTCAATTGACATTGGGCAATGGAAATTTTGATCCTTGTATAATAAATGAGCTAGAACACAATCTGGAATCTTTCAGAGATCCTTCATTCAACAATTCAATTTAAGTGGAGAAGGCAACAGCTGTACTAGTAAGAGCATTCCTTTAAATACAGCAAATAAAGGACTTTCCCTTGACAAAAAAGATGCTTCACCAGTCGGTCTGTCAGCCTGGTGCATTGGTATTTTTTCCCCATATTTCATAAAAACTTGCCAGAAGAGGTTGATTGGATAAAGAGTTTATTAACCACCCGTAGTTCAACTCCTGACATACGCAAAGCAAATAGAGTTATAAGGGGATAGCAGTAATCATGTGGCTGCTATCAGTGTACATACAGGCCCATGCACAGTTGTCAGGCTTTGTACAGTAATTAGAGATGAAACTTGGCTTGGCTCTTTAAGAACAGGGCATTATCTATCCTACTTGCGCAGCTTTGTTGGCATGCCACATTCACAAATTGCATTAAAAAGTTACAGAGAACGAGGAAGTGAAAAGTTGTCAGAGCTAGGAAAGCTGGCTATAGCAATGTTGAAAGGGACACTAGTCACCAGAACAACTACAGCTTATTGCAATTGTTCTAGTGAGTAGATTAATTCCCCTCAAGCTTTTTGCTGTAAACACTGTCTTTTCAGAGAAAATGCAGTATTTACATTACAACCTAGTGATAACTCCACTGGCCACTCATTAGATGGCTATTAGAGGTCCTTCCTGGGGCAGTGCTGCCCAGTGAGCAGCACTGCCATTCAGTGTCTCCACCCTCTGCATGCAGACACTAAACTTTCCTTATAGAGATGCATTAATTCAATTCATCTCTAGGAGGAGGTGTTGATTGGCCAGAGCTGTGTTTGACTTGTGCTGGCTCTGCCCCTGATCTGCCTCCTTGACAATCTCAGCCAACCATTTAGGGAAGCATTGTGATTGGCTCAGACCACCACTTTTGATTATGTCAGCAGAAAGGGGCAGAGCCAGCAGCCGCAGACTTGAATACAAGTATGGTTTTACTAAATGAAGGGAGGCAAAGGAGGGGGGGGGGGGAGGTAACACTATAGGGTTAATTATTGTCTTATACTACTCCCAGTAAGCAGAGTTGGTATAGTGTACCTCATACAATTTTGAGTTGCACTTAAAGGGACCGTTCAATATTTTCTCTTCTTCTGAATCTATTGCCTGTTAAATATATTTTCGTTCAAAACAATTTGAATAGTCTGTTTATGGCTGTGAAAATAGGTACTCTTGTGAACCACAATTGCCACTATATGGGGTAAAATGCAGAGCACATTTAATAGTTTAGTGGCTACAATTTTGAATAATTTGTTGACCTTTTAAGGTGTTTCTTCGCAAATAGTTCTCACAGTGAGTCTTGTACAAGAAATAAAATTTCACAAAAAAACGCTTCCTTAAAATTCCAAGAACACATTCATACACTGACTAGCACAATACAGCCATATGTAATTTATTCATCCTCTTCTGTATTTATTTATTTTTAAGAGAAGTTCGTTTAAAATCCACATTTTATAATCATTTATAAAAGAAATAAAAAAAGAGACAAGAACACTCTTGCTGTAGGGAATAATAAAATGACTGACATTTGCTCACAAAGTGCATATGCAAGGTTGCCAAGTACAATTGAATTGTTGTTCCAAGCAATTCCTGCATGGTCCTGCTCCGCAGAATAATGCCTTTTTATGGCAATCTGTCTGACAACTTTCTCAGTAGCCGCAAAGATACTTATTCGCTCTTATATTTTCCCTGACAAATAAGGAGAATGAAACAGCCAGCAATAAACGTTCTCAACAAAATGTTTATTGTATCAACCAATCTTGACCAACCATGTTCACTCAAATAATTGTACAAGCATATTCAGTCAATTAATTTCAAGAACGAATAAAGTTTCAGCTATTACAAAATGGCACAATAAGGTGTAAATACAAACATGTAAAGAACATGTGCACTTACACATTATAGTTCAATTTAGAGCTCAATAAAACTTTTCGTATAACATTAGTTATTTGTTTTGATAAGAGGGCATGATTTGAAT